ACAGTAAGTGCTCTTAACCACTGTGCCATTACTCCATCTCCATTTTGCTTACTTTTTGGCTTTATGGTATTTATTTTTTGATACAAGATTTTAATGTTAAACCCCAGCTGGCCTACAACTTGCTCTGTAGATCAGACTGTCCTGTAGACCCCAGAGATCTGATGTTTCTACCTCCCAAGTGCTGGGATTAAACGTGAGTACCACCATACCTGGGTAATGATATTATTTTTATTTTGTTGTTTTTTAAAAAAAGATTTACTTATTATGTACATAATGTGTGTCTGCATGTACACCTACATGCCAGAAGAGGGCACCAGATTTCATTTTAGATGATTGTGAGCCACTGTGTGGTTGCTGGGAACTGAACTCATAGACCGCTGGAAGAATAGTCAGTGCTCTTAACCTCTAAGCCATCTCTCCAGCCCCTATTTTGTTGTTGTTGTTGTTTTAAATAGGGACCCACTGGGTAGCTCTGGCAGGCCGGGAACTCACTATGTATACCAGGCTAACCTTGAAATCATAGAGATCTACCTACCTCTTCTTCCAGAGTACTGAAATGTAAAGGTGAGCACTACCATGCCTTGCTTTTATGGTGTGTGTGTGTGTGTGTGTGTGTGTGTGTGTGTGTGTGTGTGTGTGTTTTTTTCTTTGTAGTTTTTTTTTTTAGGTTTTTTTTTTTTTTTTTTTTTTTTTTTTTTTTTTAATGTATCTCAGGCTGGACTCGAACTTATGACCCTCCTGTTTCTAGTGCTAGGATTAGAGGCAAGGACATAGTGGCTCTGCAGTTTTTTAAATGCTGCTAAATTTTGAGGGGGTAGTACATGCCTGCAATTCCAATACTTGGGAAGATCAGACAGGAGATTTGCCATGAATCCAAGGCCAGCCTGGACTACAGAGTGAGTTCAAGGCCAGGTAAGGCTGTAGACTGAGGCCGAGTCTCCAAAACCCAAAACCAATCCCCCACAAAAATGCAGCTAAATAATGTAGTTAAATATATCAATGTTTTCCTTAGCTTCTGGGCTTTGTGTCCTTGAAAAAGCCTCCTTATTTCCAGATTTTTTTTTCTGGTATTTTGTTCTGTTTTCCAGCAGGCCCTGTTCTATCTCCTCGGTAATGTTCCATTTGTTCCTCTGATTGGAGGCTATGCTCCCACTGCTCACCAGTTTTGTTGTCATGTGAAAGTACAATTCATCCTTCAAGGCCATGACTGCCTTGGAACTATGAGTTTCTTTTATTTGGGCACAGGGTCTCTCTAGTTTATCCCTAGGGAACAGGATAGCCACTGGGCTCTTGGAGACATTGTTACCTTTCCTCATCTGTTCTGGGCTTCTGTGGGTTCCTTGCCAGCATGCAGTGTTCCTTCCCTGTGTGCACTAGGCCCTAAGGTAGGGAACCCTAGGATTTGCATTCTGATACTTCATGGTAATGTAATGAATGAAGGTATCCAGCTGTGAAGAGGCCTGTCAGTGGACAGTGGGGCAGTAATGGAGAGCTGCACAACTGCCCTCCACTGTATCTTTTCCTGTCCTCCCCCTAGTAGCCCTGGCTTTCTCTAGAAGATGTGCCCTACCTCCCTTCCCCCTTGAGTTCTACAGAGCCTGCTCAGGTGTCACACTTCCTGGCCGCTGACAACAGGAGGCAGGCTTGTTCTCTTCCTCACAGAAGCACCTTCTCTAGGTGCGATGGTAACGTCAGTGGAGCTAGGGATACACAGACAGCTAGTACAATTTCATCTCTGGATGTGGCTATGAGAGACTGGAGTTTAAATATTTAATCTGTTGAGGGCTTGACTAGAACAAATAGGAAGAGGAAAGGTGAATTTGCTTCTTTCTGCTCTTTGCTTTTGTTTGGTTCGTTTTTTGAGACAGGGTTTCTTTGTGTAGCCCTGGCTATACTGGAACACACTATGTAGACCAGGCTGGCCTCAAACCCAGAGATCCACCTGCCTCTGCACCCTGCTCCCCACAGAGGAGTGCTGGGGTTAAAGGCGTGTGCCACTACCTGGCTAAATTTGCTTCTTTCTGGGCTGATACATTCATATTCTACCCTTGCACTTCATTCAGTACTCCAGAAACTTGAACCTCAGGTGCAGACTCACTTGGTGCTATGATTGCCCTCACACCTTCTTAGGCCTTCAGATTCAGACTGGCTTACACAGCTGACTTTCCTGCACCTCTGGCTCGCAGATAGAAGATTGAGGGACTCTGGTTTCTACAATCTCGTATTTGTGTGTATTGTGTTATAGTGATTTTCTTTCTTTGGATAATCTTTTTTTTTTAAGATTTATTTATTTATTATGTATACACTGTTCTGCCTGTATGTACACCTGCACTCCAGAAGACAGCACCAGATCTCATTATAGATGAGTGTGAGACGCCATGTGGTTGCTGGGAATTGAACTCAGGACCTTTGGAAGAGCAGCTGGTGCTCCTCACCTCCGAACCCAGCCCTCTTGGGAGAATCTTAATACACTGGTGATAGCTCTGCTGTCACCTGCCTCCCAGTCACAGTCTTGTCACGTCCACAATTTTCAGATTTTTTTCACATACTGACCCCTTACTCAGATCTCTCTTCATGATTACTGCCCTCCTGGGGACCCCAAGTCTTAGCGATCAGGAGGAACAAGCTAGGGAACAGGTACAAAATCTGGCCAGACTCATGTGTTTTAAGGCACTGGCAGAGAGGGACACAGGGACCCTCCAGGTTTTTAGGTTCCTGTCTAATACAACTTATTACTGGACCAGACTCTGCCCCAGTCCTTACATGCTGCTCCTGTGCCACTAAAGAAGTGTATTGTAAAATCTATTTCTTTTATGTGTACAGGTGCCCGCAAGCATGCCTGGTGTCTACGGAAGCCAGAAAGGGGGTATTAGGTGCTGGGACTGGTATTATAATTGGTTGTGAGCTGCTATGTAGACACTAGGAATCAAACCTAACTACTGAGCCATACCTACGGACTCTATTAAGTTACACTTAAACAAACAAACAAACAAGCAAGCAAAGAGTTTTTTTTTTGTTTGTTTGTTTTTTTTTTGTAGGGATAGATACATCTTCATATTAAAGCACAAAACAAGATTGGCAAGGATATACCAGGAACAGATAAACACTTTTTTTTCTGTGGCAGATCAGAGGCAGTCAGGATTAAGGGAGAACTGGGTTCTTCTTAAAGGGTTTGTTAAACATATCTGGGATTCATTCGTTCATTCATTCATTCTTTTCTTTCTTTTCTTTTTTCTTTCTCCCTCCTTCCCTCCCTCTCTCCTCCCTCCCTCCCTCCCTTCCCTCCTTCCCTTCTTTCTCTCTCTCTCTCTCTCTCTCTTTTTTTTTTGAGATAGGGTCTCACTCTGTAGCCCTGGGTGGCCTGGAACTTCCTATACCAGGATAACCTCTAACTCACAGAGATATGAATGTTTCTACCCAACCCAAGTTTCTCCTTCTTAAGTGGTGCTTTGATTTTTGCAGTACTGGGGATTGAACCCAGGCACTCATGCATGCTAGGCAAGTGCTCTACCCTCATCCACATTCCCTAGCCTCTCTACCTTCTACAAGATCCTATTGTGTATTTGAGAGACCAAATAATTAAAAACTAGGTTTTTGGGGTACTGAGCTAAAACATATCAGGCCAGTTGACCTTGCTTCTTCTAGGCAGATCCAGTCAACTACAGGGAAGAATTAACCTTGCTGCTCATTAGAGGTACTGTTGCCAGGAAACTGGCCTGGATGGCCTTACTCCTGGAGATAGCACAGACCGAGCTAATCCAGCCCTCTCCCTTGGAGCAGTCTATCAGTCCAGGACAGGACTGAAACCCAAGGCCAGTACAGGACAGAACTGAAGCCCAAGGCTGCCTCCCCGCCCCACACACACACAAAAGAGAACTAAGAAAGCAAGAACTGTTCATGGGCCTGGCACTTTCCTGTAGCTAACTGTTTTGAAATGTAGCATCCCCTTTTTCTGAATTAACCAATAGAAGTTTGCCAGGCTAGATTCCCCTGCTTTGGGTACACTGGGCGGGACTGGAACCTATAAATCACCCATAATCCAGAGCTCGGGGCTCTCTGCTGGATACCAATGCCTCGGTGTCTGTTAGAGTCCAGCCCAAGCTGCAAATAAAGATCCTTGTGTGATTTGCAAAGGACTCGACTCCCTGGTGGTCTTTTGGGGTCTCACGAATTGGGCATAACATATTTATTATTTGTGAGATGTGAAAATAAGTAAAGGAACCAGTTCAATACTAGCACACCTTACCCAATTATCCCCGGTACATAGAGCTATTTCTTTTTCTGGGACTGAACAGCACTGTTCCCTGTGTTCTGGAGAATAGTGATTTATTGCAATGGTTGTGCCCTTCTTTCTGAGATGGTAAACACACTCAAAGGTACAAACTCCCAGTGTCTAGCAAAGTGCCTGACTCTGAGCAGATATTCAGGGAGGGTTGAATTAGATGAGTGCCTTTATTAGTACATTTCTTGAATGTGCTCACCATGGGACAAGCCTCCTGTTGCTCCTCAGAGGCTAATTAATCACTTTCAGTGTTAAAGGAAGAACATCTTCCGGAGTTTGAAATATGGGCAGCAGTGAGTGCTAGAAACTGAACACAGTCCTCCCTGAAAGTAGTAAGTGCTTTTAACTACTGAGCCATTGATTCAACCCTGGATTGCTGGCTTTTAGAGCTGGAAGCATATGCCATGTGGCCAATGATGTGCCAATGGCAAGGAAGCTGCAGACAAATTGGAAGAGATTTGACTTTCAAGAATGTCTTGAAAGCTCCTATGCCCAACCTTCAATAAGACAGTGTTTGTGGGATCTTGGAGAATTGAAGCTAAGTACCAGGTCTTTTGAGGAGATAAGGGCAGTGGTGGTAGCAGCAACAGTCCAGAAATCACCCATACCAGCCCTTCCCACACCCCTCAGGCTCTTGCATCCCCAGAATTGCCAAGACTATGCACCCCCCAACTTTAGACCCCCCCCCCCCATGAAGAACAACACACTGAGTCAGCTATCTCTCTGCAAGTAACTTTTATTTACAACAGAATTAGTGGCTTTGTTCCTCAATTTTTAGGGATACTTGGCATCAGCAGCCAGAGGGAAAATCTGCAGTGAAATCAAACTCATTCTGACCCAGCCACAGCTCGGGAAGCTCATTGGCTCGGTCTAGCCCTAGTTCTACCACCAGAGACATTAGCACCTCCTCATCCACTGGGTCAGAATCAATGATAGCAGGGCTCTGGGCACCAGCAGGAGGAGAGGCTGACCCTGCTGTTCCTGCCTGGGCCCCAAAGGCCCAGTTTTGCAGGGCCCCTGCTTCCCACGGTTGGCCTGGAGTGGCCGCAGCAGCCGCTGCGGCCCCCTGATACTGACTGTTTAGCTTCTGCAGCTGCATGGTAGCCAACAGATGAGGGGCAGGATTCACATTGAAGGGTGGAGCTTTGGTAGCAGAGGTGGTAGTAGGAGAGCCTATTGGAGATGGTGATCCAGAGGAGCTGGTGGGAACCCCATTGGCTTTGGCTCCATTTGAGGTGGCTGCAGGGTAGTGCAGGATGGTCACTGCCTTGCGATCTTTCACCCCAAGGTTGGAGTAGGCCAGAGAGTTCATCTCCTGGTTGGCATCCTAGAAGACAGAAAGGCACACCATAGTAGCCCTCCTCACAGTTTTCCCTTTGGCATTCACTGGATCTGGAATGCTCCTGTGTGCTCTACATTTGGAGTTAGGTCACGGGAAGGGAGGTAGGAAGTTAGGGACAGTTAGGGTTCTTTTGCTACTGTGGCTCTAATTCCTAAGTTTAGACTCGAGATGGAGCCCTGGAGAACCCATTATCAGAAGTGGGCCTCAACAAAGGTACCCCTTTCTCTCTCTTCTCAGCCTCACTGTAATCTCTTTATCACAATGGTCTTTTTCCAATTCTGCTTCTTTGTTCCTTCCCTGCTGTCTGACTTTCAACACCCCTAGTGAGTTCAATTCAACCACTTTTGGACCAAAGTTATTCTCATTTTCCCCCAGACAAAGCCCTGCTGTATTATCTAAAGTCAAGCACGCTGGTTACATGTCACACCTAGGAAGGCCTGGTACATGAACTCCTCCCCTAAAGTCCATCTTTTTATGCCTTAGTATCTCCATCTTTAAAGTGGCAAAACTTACCTCCTTCACAGAGGTGGTACCACCCTTGACATCAAGTGCAGGCCTCGACATAGTTGGCATTTCAGAGTCTGGGCAGAAGTCAGATGAACTGGTGGGAATTGACGCTGCCAGCTGGGTCTCTTGGTCTGTAAGTAAAAGAGAAAGAATGATAAATGTGAAAGGTTTTCTTGACCTGTGTCAAGCACTAGAAAATTCGAAGTCCAGGTGAATCCATTCAGCTACACAAGGCTGCTCTATTCAGCCAGGGTCTAACAGTGACCCACAATGCCAAGAGAGGACATATGAGCATTTACTCATACAGGTTACTTCAGAGACCAGAAGTGGCACTGTTCCTGCTTCTGAGAGCAGGAACATTCCTGAGAAAGCAGCACACCATGTCAGTGGACCACTAGCAGGTCTTCAATGTGACTTGGGAAACGTGAGAATCAGAAGGAAGTCTTCAAAGCCCTGTCTTGGGCGATGCCTATAAGAAGACAGCAGATCAGTGTGATCAGGAGGCTCTGAGGCAGCAGGAGCCACAGAATAGCTGGGAATAGCTCAGTTTCCCCATGTCTCAAGCCCTCCCAAGACAGTCCCCTAGATTGTGCTTTCCCTGGACAACTGTGGCAGAGTCCACCTGTGGCTGAGAGTAGAAAGGATTCTTCCTGGAGGGAAAAATCCTATGGTTTTCACAGGGAAGCAGCAGCAGTTTAGAGAGCAGCGTCTAGGAGTCCTATACCACATGCCTCTTCTGACCATTGGCCAAGACCTCATACCTGAAATTACTCAGATGGCTTTTAAAGAAATGATTCTCTGGTCCAAGTGCCAAAGAGATAAGAGGATGGGGGAGGGGAAGCACGAGACGAGACAAGACAAGACAAAACAAAAACACACAAAATTAAAAATTCCTGTTTTCTTGAAAGTGTGTTTTTATAAGCCTCATATATTCTGGCATTATCACCTAAAGAAGCTAGAATTTGCTAGGATTCTACCCTCCTCGTTACCCCCAGCTGTCGTTAACAATGTGCTGGCCTCTAAAGTCTCTATCTTTTTTGTTTCCCTTCAACAACCGCCTACTGGGGCAAGGAAGGAAGCAAAAAAGAGAAAACACGGGGGAGGGACACTTGCTGGGTCTCTCACTACTGCTTGACTGAAGTACAAACAGTGTTCTGAGGCAACACTAGAATATTCCAGCCTTCTATCTCAAGACCGGGGCGCTACCGCGCAGCGCATCGTGCTCAGGAGAGCCAGCACCGCCACTATTGCAAGTTCCTCATCTCTTCACCTCTGTATCTCACCCCCCCATGCACCACCCGTACCCGAATGTACAAACAATAACAACAACAAAACTAACCAACCAACCAACCAGCCAAAAACAAGAGCAACAATAATAGGGGGAAGAAACTAGGAGGGAACTGCGTGTGTTCTGGGGTCTGCTCGCAGGGCAGGCCCTGGAAACATTTCCCTAGAGGCGTGCCGGCCCGCCGGGAAAGCGCGGAGCCCGTCTAAGAAGCGACTGCATCTCCCCCTACCCCCCCCCCCCCCGCCACACACACACACACACACACAAACACACACACACGCCGATCCCATTTTCTCTCCCCCCACCCCACCCCTCGGCCCCTTTGAGGGGAAAACTTGGCTCCCGAAGGTCTGGGTCTGCTCCGAGCCACGGAGCGACCACTACTAAGCAGCGGTGAGGCGCCGCGGAAAAAAGCCGCGCAACAAGTGCCGGCTCCGCGGCTCACGCCTCCTGCCTCCCCGACCCGCCCGGCCGCCCACCGTGGCGGCCCTCACCCACGCCGCCGAAGGAGGAGAGCGAGAGCGAGAGCGAGAGCGAGCGAGAGAGAGAGAGAGAGAGAGAGAGAGAGAGAGAGAGAGAGAGAGAG